AACGTAAACAATGTAAAGTTTGGACCATTCAGTGATGTTAGTTTTGAAACGCCCCTAATACTAATTTCTACAAACTCTTCTTTGATTTATATTTGGTGACTATGTAGTCAATTACGTGATCTAAAATGAAGGCATTGGTAGAAATCGAGATTTCCTGGAATTTTATCATAACTTGAAATCTTTGCTGCCCAGGAAATAGTTTTTATTGTAGACGCTACTTTTTGCAACGCCTTAGTTTCTTCACGTATCATAGCCCATAAAAGTGCGACCTACACTGTAAGTATAAAAAAAGGTAGTTGAAGCCACACCGCTACCTTTGCTACCATCAGAAAGATCCAAGCTACCCCTATCTCAAGTGTTCCGAGTTGCTTTCAGTGCCCTCTTGGACTTTAAGTCTGTTTTTCCATTTTACACCAAGTTGAAGCATCTTGTTATTATTTTCCCAGATAGGGTCTATTTTTGACTTGCTAAAATTTTTCCAACAGTTGACTTACAATCTGCTAGGCTGCTTCGCTCTGAGGCTGTCTTGTCTAAGCAACCACAAATGAGGCCAGTCTACATAAGTGATGTCTGTGTTGTGACACCTGTTATATCGGGACGATGGCCTCTTTCTACGCTTGATAAAAATACTTCCATCATTTGACCTTTTCCATGCTCGATGGCCAGCTGCCTCCTGAGGGAGATGTTGCTCAGTTTAATATCACGGAGATTGGAACCTTCAAGCTATGTAAAATAACACAAAATAATAACTTGTATTGATGATTAAAAGAAACTCGATAAAGAGTGGTTTTATCTTGGTAGGCATTTTGATAAAATACATTGGATTTCACCTGAAGAAATAGAATACAACTGAGCATGATTCCACTTTCTGACTAGGCAAGGGTCACTAGTTTGGTTCAAACACACTTGCTTATGAACAAAGCAGTCACATCTTTATCTGCTTTTCGATGTTATGCCATAGATTGTGTATACTACTTTATAACTATACTATAACTGAATAAAGGGGGTAAGTTTTTAAAGAACTGTGGCGCTGTGTCGGTGGGAGTGTGTAACTGGGCAGTTTGGTACTGGCAACTGAGTTGATAATGGAAACTGGCCACCGTTGGGAGTTTAAAAGCTGACTTCATTAGTTGAATGAAAAGCGCTCGTTGATACCGTGGGGATCAAGGGTGCTGGTTTCAGTGATAAACTTTTGTTTTAGAGTTTTGCGGCTTTCCGAACTGCCTAGATGTAGGGAAAGGCCGCAAACTGCCATATGCTACTAAAAATGATTAGGGAGATCAAGAGTCTAGCAACTGGTTTGGATTTGTCCTTGTCACGTCCTTCTACGTCACGAAGGTGTTCCCGGAATCGGTCACCTAGTCGTCTTCCTGTTTTACCAATAAATAACTTTTTGCAATAAGTGCAAGTTATGCAATAGATGCTAATGGCAGAGGTGCACGTGAACTGATCACTTCGCAGTTTTAATTGAGCTAGCTTTTGAAAAGTGTAAGGGACTAATTGCAAGCTATTTGGCCTGGTAAAATCGAGATAAAAATTTACTTAAAGACAGCCCATAAGACTAAGTTTGAAAAGTGACGCGGAAGTCTTTGAACGAGGAAAGCTCCGTGCACACAAGAGAGAGAGAAATAACCCAACCCTTTATTTTACTGCGAGTCGTAGACCTTGGAAATCTTATGAGAGCTATATTTGTGTCCGCGATTTGCTCGTCTCCAAATTTATTTTTTTTCCTTCAGTATAAAACCAATTTAAAACAAAACAACAAAACATTTTATCACAAATAAAATATTTCCCTACCAAAACGTTTTCTAACCCAAAAGTCACCGTGAACACATTCGTCAAACATGCTGTAAATCGCCATCAGTGCTTCGACGACTTGGTCTGCCCAACCAATCGCATCCACCGTTGCTATGGGATTCTTCACAGGACAATTTCCGGGCTGATCGATCAGATAGTACTTTAAATCAACTCCTGGATACTCAGTTACAAAGTCTGCTTCTAAAGCTCTTGGAACCTTTTTGAAAAAAGCACCATAAAACGTGACTGGTCGCTTCAAGTAGATATCCTCGCTTACATACCAAGAAAAGTCATCCTAGGCGAATTGAATGCTCCGGATTTCCATAGAACTAAATTAAACAACGCGAGCTCACCGCGCAAACTCTTGGATTTGTCTCTACAGGGTTTGTAGCGGGCTTCAGTATAAATAGATCTATTACTGGTGAAGAGTCGAAAATATTTACCGCTGGTCACTGAACTCCTCCAGCATTGCTGCTGTTGATGACATAGATGAAAGCAGTGGCATTTGGTAAGTATTTCACAACAGTTTCGTCCATTATCTCTGACTCCCCGACGCCAGGGCTCTACACGATCACAACACCGTCCTATTATGGAAACAGAGTAAAACAAGTTGTTTTCTCCCTGTACTTCTTTTGACCGTTCGGCGTTAAAACCTGGAATAGGGTCCTGAAATTTAGTTGCCAGTTTACATCATGTTTATAAAAGGAAGCTCTTGAAACATGATTTTGGGAGTCTCTAACCTATAATAACCTGTTAGGCCAAAACAATTCCACTTTTTTGTAGTCTGATGCCTTTTCTCTTAAACTTGCAGACTTGACGTGAACAAATTCTGATATTTGACCTATGTAAGGCGAGGATTCAGTGAGATACTTCATCCTCGGAGCCTTTCCATTTTCTTCACAGTGTATGTTTATCCTTTTCTCTCTTACATATTTCAATTCATAAATTGTAAATGTTGTACTCAGAACTGCACTGGTCTCACCTCACCAAGAATTAGGTCCAATCAAGGTTGAACCTCATTCTTGGTGAGATGAGACCAGTTCGGGCAAAGCAGCGGCTGTTTTTGCCTGCACTGGTCTCCCCTAAGCGTGAATAAAATGCAAATTAAGGATTGAGTACAGTTCGCCAAATATACTTACTATGCATGCATAATTTATAGTATAAAAACTTTAACGAGATGCTTGAACGTCCATTAAGCAAGGACTCACCTGATGTTCAGTGACTGAGATGCATAAATTATTACTGTCAGACTTCACATACACCATGTGCCAGGAGGAAATTATTTTCATTTTCTGTCACTGCCACCTACAGCCTAGTTCCGCCGAATGACATGACATTTCATCAAAGCCACTATTTTCTTTTTCTGAATATATCGGAATATCGTTTTCAAGTAGAAATGAGAAAGAAAGAAAGAAAAATGTCAAATAGGGTTTCAGTATTGTCAGCCTAATTCTCAATTCTCCTTGTAAGAAACAAATGGCAGACGCCGTGAGTCAGATGAAATATAATTAAACATCGAGGTTGAAAGGACTGAGGTAATTACTTCATTTTATGTTCGAAGCCTGGCTGTCTGCCCGCTGTTGTGAATTCACAGATCGGAACAAAATATAGAGCTGAGCCTAACTAGTTTCAATTTCATTCGGTGAGCTGTCAGCCAAATGACTATGAGGTATTTTGCCTCATGATACTGTTATGATATTACCAGAGTTAATCATATTTTTCGTATGGTGAGCTTGATAGTTTTCGTTTAATTGTCACTGCTTTCGACCGTAACTGACCGAGAAATAATGCAAATGCTCGATGACTCGTGACAGTAAGTTTATAAGCTTCAAGCAAGTTCTAAAAGGCAGAAGCCCGACTACTTTGGCGGCAAGGTAAGTCTTACCTCATTTCGAGAGCTCAGATGAGTGAGCATCCTTTCCTTCATGTCTTTGATGTTTTTGCATCCTTTAATTGGAATGCTCAAATTCTGCATTGAATCGATAACCTCGGCGATGTCATCTGCCTCATTCAATCTTTGTCTGATGGCTTCCATTTTTTTCTTCCAAAAGAAACTGTGGAAAATTGAATACACGGCGCCCAGTAGAGAATGAATTTTCAACTTTTGGGATTGTTTAGCAAGACCTACTTTCCTAGAATTATCATGTGTTGACTTACGGTAACCAAGTTTTCGTGTCATGTTTATGGTTAATGCAAAACTACCTTTGAAGCAGCGAGGTCGCTCTAGAACCTGATAAAATTGATATTTGAGGCGAAAATACTAGCGTTTATCAACCGCTTTGCTCTTCTAAGTTACTAATCCCCGGCTTATTTTAAGTGTAATTAAAGTCTAATGGTGTTGCTGCATCGGCCTCCAACAGAAATGTACTTAGACAAAAACAGATGTTCTTTCTCTTTTTGCAAAAACCAAACATTCCAAAGCTATTTAGCGTAAGTCAACCATGAATCCCTTGTTGAAAACCGCACACGTTCGAAAGTTGTTAGAATTCTCTTCTAAACATGGACGGAAAAGCGGAGAGAGATAACATTTTTAAGATGATTTTGTTTTCTAGGAAATCGCTTCTGATTGCCATTAGTGTCGCAGATTTTATCATTTCATTGGCTGGCAGCTCGTGGTGATGACAGACATGTCTTTCAACCGTGACATACAAACAATCTTTACTCGTCTTGAACGCAAGAATTATCTGATTTTCGCTCTTGCATTACAGATTGAAGTGGAGTCACATCGTGCCAATCAATTTACCAGCGTTTTGAAATACTGATACATAATGGAATACAACTACTTGCAAAGAAACAATAAATTAGAGATTTTAAATAGAGACTTATGCAAAACGACTACTAGTTAAGAAACCTGTGACAAATGTGTAATGACAGGGACTTCCTTTATTCCCAGAAAAACCATCACAGTTTTCTCAGAATTAGTCACATATGAAATCTCTTATTTTGTATTTATTTAAGCAAGGAGCAATGATCTTTGCATTTAAACCTTTTCCATTACCTCCAAGAGTAAAATAATGTGAGATACAGTTTAGTCGAGTTAACTGTTTAATATGTGAAAATGACGCTTACATGAAGGCTGCAGCCTGATGATTCATGCTAACAATTGATTCTTTTGAACGACCGTGACGCGGTATGCGTATTATGCTATTTGCAAACTAAATTGCTGTCTGTTGTACTTATTTCATAAATGCATTGCACAGGCACTTTTTAAGCGTTTAATGGGATGCTCAAGATGGATTCACCGTTGAATTTCAGAGTGCCAACTGTCTGAGAAGAGTATTATGGTCTGTTAACAGATCAAGTGATCGTGTACAGTTTTGTGGCCATGAAAAGGATTTGTTAGTGGCATAGCGACTTTGAATCACCCGTTGAGCACCTCTATGGGCTGGTAAATGGATAACTAGGATTTGAGGAATGCAACATTACGAGTGGTTTTAAAAGAAGTAACTTGCATTGGGTATTAGCTAACGCCATTTGAAAAGATACACTACTGTTGACGTGACTTCTCGAGAATTTTGTCAAAAACGCATGATGTCTACGGGGCTGGAGAAAGTGGATACCATAGACGATATAGCAAAAGCTTTCGAATTAATTAAATCTTTCGGTCTTTCAACGAAAGGCTTAAATTCACTAGATGAGATGAAGAACAAACTTCGTGAACATTTAAAAGGGTTGGAAAGGACTTCGTCGCGAAAGATTGGAGAGGTATGTGATCACAGTGACACTTTTTTAGTTCAGACATCACAGATATTTGTGCAGAATATGGTAAATTATCCGACTATATGTAAATCTAGGCTGTTGGAGTAAACAATGTTTCGCTTGTTATGCTGCTTTAAAGCAAATTTATCCATTTTTATTCGTGCGTAATATTAAGAATGGTTTAAGATCATAATGATGTAAAATTCAAACGAAATATCAACACTGAACACAACTCACGGAAGTCTAAACGGACAACCGTAGCTTCTGCATGGAATCATTACGATCATTGACCAATAAATATGTGCAGTCAACCCGTAAATACCAAAATGGCTGCTTATTGAACGACTGGGGGCCATCATCCACACGAATATCAAAGCACCTATGCTTAGGTATCATTTTTCGAAATTATATTTAGCCTTGTACTCCTTTAAGTCTTTGTGAACTGTTAGATAGCGAGATAAATTCACAAAACATTACCATGAAATACGTGATCAAGAATGAGGTAACGCAGGAATGTATCGATACCGCTATACCCAGTGCTTGTTTCGTTTGGTTTTCCCAGACTGTAGATCGATAGCTTTATTTTCATTTTTATTCAACAATTAAGACCTATTGGCTCGTAGCAATAGTGAAGATTTCAGTCCTTTTTTAAAGCTCTGAGGTCTTCGTATCCTCGGAAAGAATATTCATACAACTGCAAAATTTGCTGATCGAAAAGGGCATCCCCTCTCCTCATAAGACTTTTGTCCATAAATAAATAAGAATTTTTTTCAAACTTATCATTGTGGATTGAGAACGTGGTCGAAGTAATATTTATGTGTTCCATGGAATATTTAGAAGAATTGCTTGGGGGTCAAGGGGGACTGGTGCTTACTCGCAGAGAGGTAGCCCAGCTAGTCCAAAGCACAAAAAGAGTGACTTCTATTTAAAGCGTTAAACAACAGCTAAGTATTTGCAATGGGTTTCTCTAAAAAAAAAAAACCTCATCAAACATGCCACATTTAGCGCTGATTTACAATATTGAAGCTCTCGAGGTGTTCAAAATTAGCAGTGTTATTAGTCGTGAACTCAGGCGGCCTCCTATGGGAAAAACAGTTTAGCAACGTTATCTGTGTTCACTTGGATCATATGTATTTAGTGCTAACTACCTTCAACAATTTTGATTGAGATCTTTTTACTTGCAGACACATGAAGTTATCTCCGATGCTGGTAAATCGGACGCTGACAAACGCAGAAAGTTACTCGATCTTTACAAAAGAACTGAGCAGTTCATGGATCAGTTTGAGGAGGATTTTTTGGAAATACTTCAGAAAAGCTTCGAAGACCTGAACAAATCTTTGCAAGAGAGAAAGAAGAATGTTGAACCAAGTGATCAGTATGTTGTTCTTGTTGCAGGTGTGTTTTGCTGTCATCAGTTAAAGAGACATCAGTCTCATCATGATTATAACTACTTTATTGGTGTAGACTTGGGATGCAGTCACAATCGTTGTGGACGCCATCTTAATTCACTCTCCTTTGCATTTCTGTAATCGTTAAAAGAGAATATTATATAATTATTTATTCTAAATTATTATATGTTTCTCTGCAAGAGAGGGCAATATCCACAAATTTCTAGGGTAGTCTGGCTTTTTTTTTGTTTGTTATCATGCTCTCGCACTTAGCCACTAATTTGATGAGCCAGTTCAAGGTGACTTAAATCTTGTTCGTAAGTAATGTTTTTTGATCTTGCTTTGACGCGTTCCAGGCCTAGATTATGCCTGGTCATTGACTTCTATTTTATGATTCCTCTCTTGATTAGGTGAGACTAGCGCTGGAAAAAGCAGTGTCATTAATCTCATCTTGGGAGAAGACCTTCTTCCCTCTACAACATTAAGCACCACGTCCACAATTTGCGAGCTGAAATACGGACAAAAGCCGATGGTTGGTGTACACTACAAGCCTAATGGAGCAAAAACTCCTGAACCAGCTTTTCACGAATTGAATGATGGAAGTAAAACCTACAAAGAACAAATAGAGAAGTTTGTGTACGTCAAAGAAGATCGAGAGAAAACACCTTACGAGAAAATTGAACTGTTCTTTCCGCACCCTTTGTTTAAGGTACTAACGAAGTTGATAGATGAAGCGAAAAAGTTATGACCAAATTTCGGTATAAAAAAATTCAGGATCAAAAGTAAACCTCTGCACGTAGCTCTATGGAATAAACTATGAAGTTAGATCATGAAGATTGAAACTGCTTATTTCTAAAAAACTTTCGTGGCGTGTGAGGCGAAGATAATTTCAGTGAAAAGGACTGGTAAATGCTTGTTCCAAACTCCATGGTTTCTTTGGTTTCAATGCATTAAGATAAAAGTACGAGAACCTTGGTAAGTTAATGGCTTACCATGACGAATGTTTGAAAAAAAGGGCTTTTGAGAAACGATGGTCATGGTAATTAATATTTCAATGAAATCATCTACAAAAATAACTCACGGAACTTGTAAAAAGTAATACGACAGCGAATCTCATTACGGATTCATGTTTTAATTTCAGGAGAATGTAATTATCGTCGACAGCCCTGGTGTAGGAGAAAGCGATGTCATGAGTAGTTTTGTTCTCAACTACCTGCCGCGGGCCTTTTGTTTCATGTACGTTCTCAGTGCGTCGAATGCTGAAGGAATTCAGACCGACAGGGTAAGGACAAGGATTACTGGGTATTACAGAGCTCTAACAAAATTCTCGAACGTGATTGGTTATCATCAGCCCGATTTGAGCATTAATAGGACAGTGTACGCGTCATGCTTGTAATTGGACAGTGTAATAGGACAGTTAAAGGGACAGTTAACACGTCATGCCAGTGTAACTGGACAGAATAGGGCGCTGGGTTACCTGATGCTTTTTTTATGAAAGCAAATAACCGACGTCTAGTTTCTTCCTCAAATTCTGTCATAGTTTTGATTAATTGTTAACAAGTCTTCGTGTCGTCCAATTCTGTCCGTAATCATACTCGTTTTTTATTAATTCATATGATTACAGATCGAAATTGGACTCCACTCGGTCCTATTATCATTAATAATCAGTTTAGAGGAAGTTCATTAAAAGTGGGCTTCACATCCACAGGAGAATGACACCTAAGAATGAAGTACTGTTTTCATCATTGCTTTCAGTGATTCCTTAAAAATATCAGTTGTGCTAAATCTCAGTTTCAGCTTCGAGCAATGTTTTAAAATGAAAAAGAGATGATAGAAATGGTCTTCACCATGCTCATTTGTTTGGTGAGATGCTTCTTTCCCACTTGATTGTACTTATGTAGAACCAACGCTGGACGAACTCGTTACAAAAGTTCCATATTTTATCAACTCTTTAATGTCATACAGAGTCAAAATCAATTCAAACTGATGTCTTTTTTTTTCAGAGGAGTAAAACATCCTTATCAGTCACATTTTCAAAATATATTTTAGACAAGCATGTGTCGCTAGACACTGTGCGGCTCTTCGGTTCCCTTACTTTATATATGTGACCCTCCACGGGATTTCAGGGAATAAGGTGAACGCACACTCACGGTACACTAGTACGCTAAAGAAAAGAACGAGCTTTTAACACACTAGCTGCGTGTAAGTTACTTTCCTCATTAACTTCGCAGGCATTGTCTTGCCTCGCACGGTAGAAACAAAGGAACGTGTTAACATCTAGCTCGCAACTTTGCACGATATAACACGGTGACCGTGCCAATTTTATAGCACGCTTCTTAAAGTTAAAGTTGCTTTCGATTTGTAAGTCCTAAGCTTTAAGGCTTTTTTAGCTCACCGATACGCCCGGCCGATATACGATACACAGTATTCAGAGCAAGTAATTCGCCAAACATAAAGGAAGATCTCGAGTTGTTGTCCATCATTTAAAACTGTCTTTAAGTTTCTTCCTTCATTTTCGAATTCCACATTTTCTTAAAACAGCTTGCAAAACACGGGCCGAACGAGCAAAATCCTCTGCTCTTGAAATCGTGCATGAACTTTTGAAGGTAGCAAGCACAAGCTTTTAAAATAATAAGAGCGAACCTACATGATGCAAAGCAAATGGCTAAAGGGTAAACTGTGCTCTCACCGTATCATCAAAACTGGCAACACAATTTGCTGATTGGTTTTTAATGCATTGCAAATACACATTCTTCTTCACAAAAATTATGAAGTATTACTTGGGAGGAAGGGGAAGGGTCAGCATACATGTACATGGGAATAACCCTTTTATGATCCATCAAATATTTTGGCGTGCGCGCGATTGGTCTAAACACACCACGTGACCGAATATCATCCAACTAAAACTGGGTGACATTCAAGCAATATCCCTCGATTTTCAAACCTTACTTCCGCTACGGTAAGTCTTAGTTTCAAATTAAATTGGAGACGAGAGAGGGTTTTGTGGTGGTTACAGAAGAAGGGAGACTTTTTTGTTCATTTAGTCGTATTAGAGAACACTTAAAAGAAAACATCCCAAGCTGTTCGTAAAATTTTTTCCACACACGTTGCAAAATATTTGAAGGATAATAAACACAATAGCCTCTATTATGCGCTAAAACATGTACTTATGTTTGTACTTGGACATAATCTGTTCCTCGAAGCTCACAATTTTCCTCGAGCTTCGCTCTCGGAAAACTGTTCGCATCTTGGAACAAATAATGTCCGCGGACAAATATCCGTGCATATTTTTGCACCACATAGAGGCTATTGTTTATATAGCGTAAACAAAGGTATTTTCCGAAATATCCCATCAGCAATTGGCTCTATATTTGCGAGCGCAGGATAGCTGAAACATTTCTTGTCAGACCTTATTTTCCACGCATAGGTGTAAGAAGTAACTAACTAAAAGTTGAATAGAAGTTTGTCAGTTTTCTTAGGTCTTACTTGATTTTTCTTTTGTCTTTTAAGTTAGGAAAGCTACTCACGAGCGCTCAAAATCTGAGGAAAAGTGCCAACTTGGATTTGTCACTATCAGCTGCCTGTACGCTGTTTGTCTGCAACAAATGGGATTTGGTTGAGAACAATGAACGCGAAGAGGTGAAAAGGGATACGGTCGGAAAGCTTACAAGAATACTTGGTAACCTGGATCCGAAATCGCAGATTGTCTATTTGTCATGTAAAACCGCGCAGTTAGCTCAGACCTATGGGGTAGTGACAGAGGATTTCAGCAACCTAATAACAGGGATAAGTAATCTCGTAGTCTCGTCCATGAAGAATAATCTGCAGATGAATACTAGGTAGGTGGACTTCTAATAATTCTAAGATAATATCATATCGATTGGTTGGGAGTGTTTTCATCGTCAATTTTGAGACTTTGAAGCCCTTTTTTTTCCCACTTGAGTACTCTTCTTTGTCTGCAGAGGTGCATCCATTAAGGATAGAAGGAAAGTAAGGAAAACCACCATGATAATTTTTAGCGTACGGCCCGATGAAAGATGCCTTGATAATTTTTAGCGTACGGCCCGATGAAAGATTCCATTTTGAATTCTTTTGATAACTCATTTACTTATGCAAACATTCCCACCTTTGTCCCACACCTTAGATAAATGAACAAAAGATATAGTGAAATTACACAACTATGCGGACAAAATCTTGTAAGAGGAGTAGGGGATTGTCCAAAAGTTACGCGGCTTTATTTTTCTTCGATGAAAATACAGCATTAAGTGAAGCTGACGAGGAAATTACAATTTTTTCTTGCCTGTGCTAGAAGCTCCTCTTGAAAGAAACGGACGACTAAAAATGTCCAAACACGCACTTTTCGGTACGGCTTAGCAATCCGACGTGTAGGATGTCAAACTGTGTTGTTTCTATGCGTAAACAATGCTGCAAGAAGACAGTGCGAACGTAGCAATGGCCTCTCGATCGTAAATAGCTGATTTCATCGTACGATTGTTTAGTTCTCACTTTTTATTGATTTATTTCAGCTGTGGGGATTATCAGTTTTGAAATCGAAAAATGCACAAGATACTTTTGGTGATGAAAAAATATATATTTTGCTTTTTTGTCTCTGACTGAGGAATCAGGTAAAAGAAACGGTATGCATCACACTTGTTGTGAGGTGCAATTAATACCCAGGAAACTCTTGCTTTTCAAGAAATGAAAATTTTTGCATTGATTGTCATTTCAATTGTTTAGCAGTTGTAGTTATGACATAAAACAATTTTTATATTATTATTTATCAGATGGCTAGAGGATCTTCTCGATCGCATGTCTCGTCAAGTCTGCATAAAACTGAAGTCGGCAAAAATGTCTCATCAGGAAACAGAAGAAAAAATCAAGAGAGTGTTAAGACGCATGGAGGAGCTACAGAATTCTCAGAAACGTATATTTGACGAACTTAGTGAGCATCAGTCGAAAATATTTGAAGACATCCTCGAGAAGCTGGCTTTGCACTTTAAATCGGAGAAAACTATCTCGAGCTTCTGCAAATGGTCTAAAGATGAAGTACCCAAACCCCTTGAAACATGGCGGGATACAAAGAATGAGGTGTTAAAGTACGTCTCAGAGAGAACACACCAACTTGTCAAGCAATGGGAAAACGAAGAGAACGAATTTGACAGAGCTCGAGTGTCATTGATCCAACATTGTTGCAAAAAGTATGATATAATGGAGGAAGAAATGCGCGAAGTAGCAGAAGATTTTTTTTTCGTGGACGAGGTGGACGGCGACCTTCCACAGGACGAAGGTGGAGAAAATTTGAAACGATCTAGAGTAAGAGGAAGATTGCCAACAAGTACTGCTCCGCCATGGCTTCGGCAAGGATTGGCATCAGTGGTGATAGGGTCTCCACTTAGCATGCTCGGAACCAAACTTAAAAAGAAGCTCCACTACAAACCCAAACTGGACAGGTTCCGCGATGACCCATGTGCCTACATGTCAAAGCGATCACAGAAATGCCTCAAAGTTATTTGTGATCGAGACCGCTTGCTTCCGTTCATCAGTAAACAACTTGAAGACGCCGTATTGTACCTAAGACGGATCAAGGAGAAGATTCCAAAGCTGAGGGAAGGTGACGAGCTGATCTATCAACGGCTACTTGAAGACGAGAGGGGCAGTACTGAGATTCGGAAGATCTACGAGCCTTTAAACAACGAACTGGAATTTCTGAGACGCAATGTAACCGTGTACACTCTGCGAGAGATCAGGCAGTCGGATTTCGCAAGAGAAGAGTTAAAGTGCGATGTTGAAAATTTAGATTTTTTCATTGGAGGAGGCAGCTTCTCCACAGTGTTTAGAGGCATTCTTCATCGCAAAGGATCGCCAGAGATTATGGTGGCAATCAAGATGTACAGTGACCCGCTTACCAGTAACAACGTGTGGCATTTTGTAGACGAGGAACGTGCTTTAAGGTATGAATACCCAAAGACCATTTTCTCTGATACAGTTGTGTTCTTTTGACAGATCAACTGTCGTGCGTGGTGTCCTGTATCAGATTTTGCATGGTACCTAGAGCCGGAAATGCCATAACTTGTTACACATGCGATTAAAAAACGATTGTGTCCCTGCTGCCTAGAAGTTTAATGGCAAATGAGGCTTTTATCTTTGTCTTAGAAAACTGCGCCATCCAAACATTGTCGGTTTTTATGGAACCAATTTGCACCACAGCCCCAACGGCACTAAAGTGATGATCGTCCTCGAGCTTTGTAGTTGCTCTCTGAGAGATCGAGTACTTTCCCATCCAGAGGATTCACCCGCTCGATCGTCGAACGGCACAGTCAAAAAGAAAGTCTTATCCTGGGTGCAACATATCCTGGAGGCTTTGCAATATATCCATTCAGAAGGATTTGTTCATCGAGATTTAAAGCTGGAAAATGTGCTGGTAAATGTGTATTGAAGTTGTACTCAATTTTTCAGTAACCAATTTTTTCGAAAATAATGCAGCCTTCAGACGCACTACATGCCTTGATCTATAGTTGTTCAAGAGTGGGTTCGGGGAGGAGGGTGGGGGGGGGGGGCTTTTTGGTTTCTAGTGACTGCAAATGATGTCTTGGTGATGAAATTTGTATGCCTCAAATTAAGGAAATCAACCACCCGTTTCCCTAATCTCATGCAGAAGATTGCGTGCCATGTAAAAAAGATACTGCAACTTTATTTTAAATCAATGACAGATATTTTGGGCCGAAACTGATTAACAAGAAGTCTAAACCTTTGTCGTGGCATTTGGTGTTCGAAACCATGAAACACGATCTTGCAATCAACCAAAAAAGCAGCAACGTCACACTAAGCCATTTATAGTTTCCCCTGTTCATTACAATTTTTGTGACTAAGTTTAACTTTTTTCTCATTATAGCTGACGCAAGGCGAGAAAGTGAAACTTGCAGATGTGGGAGTAGCTAAACATGAAAAAGAAATAACTGGAACGATGATCGGAACCTCTCTGTACCTGGCCCCTGAAGTGTTTGAGGGTCGAGTCTACAACAGCAAAGCTGACATATATAGTTTTGGCTTTGTACTTTGGGAAATATGGTATGGTGAGCAAACCTTTCAAACGGCCATGACAACCTGCGGAGTGTATCAGCTCGAAAAGATGAGACAGGGCTGCCGACCTGCCCACATCGAAGGCACGAACCATCCATGGGAAATATGGGAGCATGTCATGACTAATTGCTGGAATGAAGATCCACGTGCCAGACTGACAGCAAAAAAAGCGCTGGAAAGTTTTAAGGAGTTGCAGGAGGCTGAGATTCAACCCAAACTGAAACCAGTACCGCCACCGAGGTCACCTTCGACACGGCCACTTTCAGCCAGCTAGGAGACCAAATAAGCAAGTTGGAGCGTCTGTTTTTTACCACAAAAAAGTAGAGGCGGAGAGTGTTGACTTTGAATTAAAAGAAAAGAAGTAATGTGGAGCGGACTGAAAAGAACAATCGCTCTATATCTTAGTATTCGTTCGACTATATTTAATTTAGGAAGAGGAGGTCACAGAAATTAGAGATGTAACCAAATTTTACTCAAAGCTCCTCATGAGCTCCAGTGTATACTAATCATTTTTTAATAGCAGTTCGTGGGCGGCGTGGATTACAGATAGTTCCCAAAGGTATATCTATTTATAACTCGGAAACCGTTTCTTGAATCGCTTGAAGAGAAGCTATACAAATTTTTTTTATTCCACTAGGACGTCATTTTGGATTTTTAGGGTATCGGAGCGGCCAAAATATGCCAATGAATTACTCTGTAGATAATAATAATAATTTTATAATTTATTTACTTCTATAGCGCCCTTTAACATTTAGATGATCAAAGACGCTTTACAATTAGTGTCTCTTCCACCCATCCCACCCCAGGGGAGGACATCCACCACACAGTAATCTCGTGCGTGGGAAATTAACGTCTCCTACCCCAACCCTGCAGGAGACGGGGTCTACGGTTTTACGTCCTATCCGAGAAGACGAAGCAATGTGAGTGAAGCGTCTTGCTTAAGGACACAACGTCATGCCCCAGCCAGGACTTGAACCCGGGCCGTCGGACCCAGAGTCCAGCACACTGACCACTGGACTACTCACGCCTCACAGGG